ATATATATATATATATATATATATATATATATATATATATATATATATATATATATATATATATATATATATATATATGTGTGTGTGTGTGTGTGTACTCTTAAACTAAATGAAATAAACTGTAATTTTGCATAATTTCTGTTAGTATAACGTAAACAATGTATGATTGAATGATACTCTTTGGTAAGTTCTTCTCCCTAGTTAAATCTTTTTTTCTCTACCGTATGAATTTATGGGTGTGGTCAATAAGATTCATTGGGAGTTTACTTGATAAAAGGACTCTTATAATTATTTATTTTAGAATTTATACTTTCACCTATAAATCAAAAGAATTTCATAGGAACTCAACACATGATGTGACAATATATAATAGAAAGATTATAAATATTCTCTATCTCTCTTTAATCCATTTTTCATTGCTTATAGTAGTTGAATAAAAAAATAGAAATAAAAAAAAATGAATCTAGTTTTTTTTACATATCAATATTACTGTAGTTTTCAAATCGAATAACGATGCACTTAGAGAGAACGATCTCCAAAAGTATTCGCATCTAAACTGGGATGGATAGTTATTTGATTTTAGTTTTTTCATATAACAAAAGTATTATTATAGTTTTTATACTTTTAATTGATATGAGAGCTACATGTTTTAAAATTAAAATAAATTAAATCATAAAAAAAATTAGATGTACTAATCTTTTGAAATATTTTTTTATTTTTAAGTAATATTATTATTGAATTAATTTGTGATGTATTATGTTTAATCTGTGAATCTATTTATGTATGCTCCTCACTTGTTTGTAAGCAATATTATTAAATCCTGTATGTTGATTATAAATTTAATTGATGAGTTTATGAATAAATATACTTTTGAGATAAGTGACGTAGAAAATACATCGAACCATTAAGGATAAATTATCAAAATAAATAAATTAAAAATTATATTAAAAAAATATCATATTAGAAATTAGATATGATTAATTAGACTTTGTATTATAAGTCCGGAAGGATCACGTAAAAAAAAATTAACATGCTGATAGATTGAATAATTTACCAAAGGAATTAACGATATACTGGAAGGACCATTCCATCCTCCCTCACCCGATTTCTTTTCTTTCTTTCTTCAGTGCAGCTTTCAATCAATTGCAAGGACTAATTCCAAGTGGAGGTCAGTTCTTGGCCTTCCCATGTTCTAGCTGTGAAGGAAGTCCCGGTCTCTACAGTGATTCTGGACTCCTCTGCAACTCGACTCGGCTCCCGACACAACTGAAGGAAGATGATGCTGATGTGTTTCGGAGTACTACCATTCACATTGATTTCGGAGTGCTACCATTCACACTTGGCGTAACGGTGGGTTTTTGGTCCACTGTGTACTTTTTTATGTGTTTCTGGAATCAAACATCAAGGAGAATATATATATATATATATATATATATATATATATATATATATATATATATATATATATATATATATATGTATATGTATATGTATATGTATATATGTACATATACCTTTGAGTTGGAAAGCTTTATTGATTAGGCCGCAAATATAACTATTTACGAGGAACTCTGTTTGTTTCAGTTCTGGAGATTTTCGTGTATCCCACTAATATTGTGGTCATATGAAAAAGATTGGATAAATTTCTCAAAAAATTTATATTTTTATTTTGTTTTCTATTAATTTTTTTACTTATTTTCACATGCGTCCCTTAATTCCTAAAAGGTAAAATTACCTTTCGTCTTTATCCCATTAACTGTTGCTTCTACCTCATCTTAATTGCGTGTCCTTAATCTTGCTATAGTCCTCACCAAAATGCTCTCACCATCGCCTCACCCATGCATCATTGCCTTTATCATTCATATCATTGATTGACGTCACAATAGATGTTGAGGAGATGTTGGCTACGAAGGAGTTGGCTTTGGCTCACTCCCACCCCAATTGCCACCATTTCATCATGTGATGCCCCCAATAGATCCATACACAACACAGATGGAGCAAACATGGTCTGACGCATAGCGAGCCCTTAAGGGGCCCTTAAGGGTGACGATTCGATCCAACTTTGGCATCAGGTAAAGAATCACATTACAAGACAACGATAAAAATACATGGGGTCTCGAGATGGAATAGAGACGACAAATAATAATGATGACGAAGATGGTAATCGATGGGACGTAGGTCAATAGTAATTTTATTTTATTTTAAATAAGGGATAGCTTGTGAGAATAAATAAAAAAATATTAATTAAAAAAATAAAAATAAGAGGTTTTTTTTTAATTATTTTAAAAAAAGTTCACAACAATAACTATTTAGAAAGAAAGATATTGAGATTTCATCTATGTTTGGTGCCCTTAATTGTTTCCTCCTCCCGAGACTTCTCGATTTCTGTGCAGTTCACTCACACTCGATGAGATGATATCATAAAATATATTTCTATTTATGCACGTCATACGGTACCCTCATGACCCCTCTCGTTAAGGATCAGCCTACCCAAAATTATCGTATAATTCCGTAATACCTGCATATATAAAAACAAAACTACTGGCGTAACGAATTACCAACCGATGAATATAGGAGAATAAGCATCGCTCTATCGAAATGAAACCTTATAATAAGAATAATTGAACAAAATATTTTATTTTATTGAACAACTTCGCCATCACCGAACGGGTTGGTTTGGGGGGACGAATGCAAACCAAGAACTCGATGGACTGACCCGAGTCGAGACAACAGTATCGCATTCCCAGGCAGCCTCGTGCACTTCCACCACACAGTTGTCCCGCCCCAAATCCCTCGTCTTCAACGCGCTTCACCGTCACAGAACAAGCGTACATATGGAAACAAGAGAAGCCCAACGACTCGAGCCAATCCCATCTCGTTGTCGGCGACCATCTATGTCGGTAACCCGTCCATGAACCAGCTTCTGGTCCTTCTCTTCCGGGTTGAGCAGTGGTGCTGGTACGTAGCTTCTGGTCTGCACTGATCACTGAACAACATCTGTCACCTAACCTCTCGACAATGACGAGCACCAGGGTAAAAAGAAAAGGAATATACCGCTCGATGGGCATGCGGAAAGGCCCGTGTGATTCCACCGAAATCTCCGGCAAAGCGGTCGGGCAGATGCTGCGTCATGTGGCCATGCTGTAAAGGAAAACTTGTGCGCATTTAAGCCATGGATGTGTCTAGGTTGATGCAGATTTTTGTGTTCCTCTTGCCGCTAGTAAACCAAGTCCCATCAATCCGCTTTCCCAACATTAGCGGCCTTCTCTAGTTAGATCTTTCAGAGAACCCTTTAGATAGAGAGAGAGAGAGAGAGCAGGAAGAATGGGTTTTCTGGAACACATCTCTGAGATCTGTTCGTTCCCGAGCAGTCACAACAAGTTCAAGAAGAAGAACCAGTTGCAGGTAAGCACAGAGGTTTACCTGCTCTTATTAGTCTCCTTCCTGCCCTGGAGATCGAGTATATGATGTGTGAATCGTTGATGGATGCAGACGGTGGAGATAAAGGTGAGGATGGACTGCGAAGGGTGCGAGAGGAAGGTCAGGAAAGCAGTGGAAGGCATGAAAGGTTTGAAGACCGACCTTGCTTCTCTCTTCTGCGATTTGATCCTTCTGAAGTGCTTGTGTTTGCAGGGGTGAGCAGCGTAGAGATCGAGGCGAAGCAGCACAAGGTGACGGTGGTAGGGTACGTGGACCCGAAGAAGGTGATAAGGAGGGTGGCGTGGAAGACGGGGAAGAAGGCGGAGCCGTGGCCGTACGTGCCGTACGACGTCGTCGCCCACCCCTACGCGCCGGGGGCCTACGACAAGAAGGCG